AGACAAACCCCAGGACCAGACACTTCCCTGCTCCCGAGCTTCTCCAGACAACAAAAGGAAAGTCTGGAACGCCCATGGGAGCCCTTCGTGCTCCACATCCCTCGGGAGCAGGGACAATTGTCCCGATTGTCCCTGGAGCTCTGAACCGTTGGTGTTCAGCCGCTCGGAACTGGGAATCCCGGGAATCCCGGGAATCCCTGCATCCCAATTCCACTCTCCATCGCCCCAGGTACATTCCTCAGGGTGAGAACAGGAATCCTGGGAATCCCGGGAATCCCTGCATCCCAATTCCACTCTCCATCGCCCCAGGTGCGTTCCTCGGGGTGGGAATAGAATCCCAGCAATCCCTGCATTCCCAGTTCCACGCGAATCCCGGGAATCCCTGCATTCCCAATTTCACTCTCCATCCCTCGGGCTGGGAACAGGAATCCGGGAATCCTGGGAATACCTGCATTCCCAATTCCAGCTCCATCGCCCCAGGTGCATTCCTCGGGCTGGGAACAGGAATCTGGGGAATCCCGGGAATCCCTGCATTCCCAATTCCAGCTCCATTGCCCCAGGTGCATCCCTCGGGCTGGGAACAGGAATCTGGGAAATCCGGGAATCCCTGCATTCCCAATTCCACTCCCCATCACCCCAGATGCCACGGGAGGAGTTCTCCAGCCTCTTCCCCACTGGGAGCCTCTCCAGAATTGTTAAAGGGAATAAAATCCTGCCCTTCCCTGGGGTGAGATTTTGGATACCTTCTCCCAGCGCTCCAAGAGTCTCTGCCCTGCCATGGCAGGGCCCTCCAAGGGTTAAATCCCCATGGATTAAATCCCTCCCCGTTCCCACTCCTGAAATCCTGAGCCACAAAGGTCCCTGGAAGGATCAGAGGCACCAACCACTGGCAGGAAATCCCAATCCAGGTGCTGATCCCTGGAAAAATTCCCATGTCCCTGCAAATTTTAGGGCATTTATCTTTATAAGCATCAACATATCCTCATAAATATGTCCTTATAAATACGTGTTTATATAGATAAATATGGAGATACATATCTCTTTATAGTGATACATTTCTCCTGGTAAGAGATGAGGAAAAGTCTTCCTGCTACATTCCCAGATTTCCAAACCAGGATCTCTGTCATGTTCTAAGCTCTCCTGGTCATTTGATCTTTATTATTTTATCTCCACACAGCAAAAACCGCTTCAATCAAACACCAAAAATTCATCTGAAGGGGAAAATCAACCCCAGGGAAGGATCCTGAGCTGCAGGAGCAGAGCTCAGCCTGGCTCGGGGCTGAACATCCCAAATTTCCATGGAGAGGATTTCCAGGTGGATCTGGAACCCCCAAGGAGGAGGGGATCACTCCTCACCTCGGGCTGATGCTGTTTTAATTAATCTCCCTGATCCAGCAGCGGGACAGCCGGGCTCCAAACCAGGCCCTTGTTATGGCTGGGAAATCCCCCTTGGAATAACAAATTTCCAGCCTGGATTAGGAGTGGAACTTTTCCTCCTCCGAGGGCGTTTCTGCAGAGGGGAATGGGAAACGTGGGACAGAAAATGTCAAAAAAAGGGCTCAGAAAGTGACTGAAAAGGGCCCTGAAAGTGTCAAAAAAGAGCCTGAAGGTGTCAAAGAAAGGGCCCTGAAGGTGTCAAAGAAAGGGCCCTGAAGGTGTCAAAAAAAGCCATGAAAGTGTCAAAAAGGGCTCTGAGAGTACCAAAAAAGGGCTCTGAAGGTGTCAAAAAAGGGCCCTGAGAGTGCCAATAAAAGGTCTCTGAAGGTGCCAAAAAACAGCCCTGAGAGTGTCCAAAAATGGGCTCAGAAAACGTCAAAAAAGGGCCTTGAAGGTGTCAAAAAAGGCCATGAAAGTGCCAAAAAAGGGCCTGAAAATATAAAAATGGGCCCTGAAAGTGCCAAAAAAGGGCTCTGTCTGACAGACAGACTCTGACCCCCAAGAGAACTCTGCACTGAGCTGGGGCCGTGGGGAAAGCTTCCAAAATTGAGTGACAGCACTGGGAGTGTGGGTGTGGAGTTTGGATGGAAGTGTGTGACATCACAGGGTGGAAAATGTCGAGTTTAAAGTTCTAGGATACAGTAATATATAATATTATATATAAAAAAATAAATATTATATTATATATATATATAATACTAAATATAAATATAAATATAAATATAAATATAAATATAAATATAAATATAAATATAAATATAAATATAAATATAAATATAAATATAAATATAAATATAAATATAAATATAAATATAAATATAAATATAAATATAAATATAAATATAAATATAAATATAAATATAAATATAAATATAAATATAAATATAAATATAAATATAAATATAAATATAAATATAAATATAAATATATAATGCACACTATAAATAAATATAAATATAAATATAAATATAAATATAAATATAAATATAAATATAAATATAAATATAAATATAAATATAAATATAAATATAAATGTTTTAGGGCAGGGGCTGGTCCTTCTTCACCCTGTTCTTCACGAGCTTAAATGGTATTGTGTAAATGGATAAAAAAGCCCACACTGCAGGCCACAAGTGCTCAGTTATTAAGTTAAAAGTAAAAAGAATTTAAGCAAAGGGCCTGAAAATATAAAAATGGGCCCTGAAAGTGCCAAAAAAGGGCTCTGTCTGACAGACAGACTCTGACCCCCAAGAGAACTCTGCACGGAGCTGGGGCCGTGGGGAAGGCTTCCAAAATTGAGTGATAGCACTGGGACTGTGGGTGTGGAGTTTGGATGGAAGTGTGCGACATCACAGGGTGGAAAATGTAGAGTTTAAAGTTCTAGGATACAGTAATATATTATATTATATATATATAAATAAATATTATATTATATATATATAATGCACACACTATAAATATAAATATAAATATAAATATAAATATAAATATAAATATAAATATAAATATAAATATAAATATAAATATAAATGTTTTAGGGCAGGGGCTGGTCCTTCTTCACCCTGTTCTTCACGAGCTTAAATGGTATTGTGTAAATGGATAAAAAAGCCCACACTGCAGGCCACAAGTGCTCAGTTATTAAGTTAAAAGTAAAAAGAATTTAAGCGTCATTTCTTAATTAGACAATTAATCCTTAACAAGTCTTGCAGAGAGAGAGAAATAGGGCTCTGTTTTTTAGTTTGTTAGAGTGAAGTGCTGCAAAACTCAGAGTTGGTGAGACTGTAACATAAACAAGAACTAAATAAACATCTAAATAAATATAATATAAATAAGAACTAATAAACATCAAAGTAAATTTAAAAAAGAACTAGTAAATATAAATAACAACTAATAAACATCTAAGTAAATCTAATATAAACAACAACTAATAAACATCAAAGTCCAAACAAGAAATAATGACTTGTGCATTTAATCCCGACCCTGGTAACGTCTGGGGATGATCCCAGTGCCCAGAACTGGGAGCTCTGCTTTCAAACCTCACCAGGAATGCTCAGGAGGGGAAGGAATAAAAGGGAAAAATGAATATAAATGAGGGAACGGAGAGGAAAGCAGAATGGAGCACAGGGACAGTGAAGGGAATGAATTGGGGAGCCGAATGATGGACACAAAACCCAGAGCTCGTTACCGGGGTCTCAGCCTGTAGCAGGATGAGGTTCCAGCACAGCACCCGGAATTCCCACTGGAATTTCCATTCCATCCCCGCAGCCTTTCCTGGGCTCCATCACCCAGCTCTGAAACTTCCCCGAGGTTTTCCCCCTAAAATCCTCCTTTCTGCACCCCCAAAGCTCCTGCTGGCTTGGACCGGAGAGGGATTCTGAGCCTCGGCAGGGCCGATTTAAGGGTTGAATTTCCTTTAACGAGGCTTTTTCGGGGATGTTTCCCCACATCCTGCTGCCCCCGGGGCCGGGATTATCGGAATTCCCTCCCGGAGCAGCCAGCCCTCGCTCCGAGGTGTGATTCCTCCCTGAGCTCTCGGATATCCCAGCAATCCACGCTTTTATTTCATTTATTATTATTTTAACTGCTCCCCGCTCCCCAAATGAGGAAATTCCACCGCCGTGGGTGGCTCAATGCAGAGAAAATGGGAAGGAGGAGCCGTAAATCCATGATTTTCTGGCTGTATCCAGGAAAAACTGGGAGCACTGCGCTGTCACCTTTAGGAGCTGATTGTGGGGATGATGGATTATTTCCCTGCTGCACTCCCAATTATCCAAACTTGCATCTTCCTCTCTAATATTCTAAATTATTTGGGTTTAGATCTTTTATCCACAGCTGTTTAATTAACGACAAAAACTCATCGGGGAGGAAATATTAATCACAGTGATCGGTGAGCTTAGCCCGGGTCGGGTTGAACATCCCACGTTTCTCCGGGGCAGCTTTCCAGGTGGATATCCCGAAGTAATCCCAAATTTCACCAGCATGAAACAGTTTTCAAGGAGCTGCTGGTAGGCTCAGAGAATCCCCAGCAGTGACAGCAGGAAAAAAAAAATCCTAATTAAGGACATATTTTGCACCTTCTGCCAAACATCTGCCCCTGAGTTTTCCCTCTGAAAAAACGGGAATTATCCAGAGAGGAGAACTCCAAGATCCTCCCCGATTTACCCAGCGCTGATGGCACCAACCGGGCTTTTCTGCTCGAAATTCGGGATATTTTACCAAAATCCCAGCTCGGGCACTGCCCCAACTCGCAACTCCTCTTTTATTCCAGTCGGGAATGGCTGGGAGCAGAAAAGGGATAAAATCTCCAGCTCGGCCAGGACTTCTTTAAAAAGTGACACCGAAACTCTTCGGCATCGCAGCCCCGCCAAATCCAGCCCGGGGGACAAGAATTGGGAAAAAACATCAATTTCCCCTCCCCGCGGTCTTTTACCACGATGGGAGAAGGAGAAAAACACATTCGGAGAGAAGAAGAGAAATGAAACTTTCAGCCGCGAAGAAAGAAAGGCTCAGAAATGTTGAAATTAATGAATTTTTGGAGGCAATCAAACCCCAGACCCCGAGTTTACCTCGATGAGCGGTGCCTGTGCTGGGGGGCAGCTCAGCCCAGCTTCATCCAGGTTTTCCTCCCGGGCTGAGCGCTGCAAAAAATTCCTCCTGCAGGCAGGGAAATGTGCGGCGAGGAGCTGCTGCTTCCTGCCAAATTTCACTGGATTTGCTCCGCAAACCCCTCCCCGGAGCCGCCCCGCCGGCGGCTCCGCCGTGAGCTCAGCGCTCCTCCCGGCAGGGCAGAGCGGGGGCAGCGCCGCGCTTCCCAAAAAAAAAAAAAAAATAAAAGGATGAGGAGCGTGGATTTTTAATCCCCAGAGAATAAATCCTGGGAGTTATCCCGGCCCCCCGGTGAAACTTTAATGTTTAAGGGCTCTGAGGTGACTCAGTGCCTGGAGTCGCAGGGGGTTCTGGCACAGCATCCTGGAATTCCCAGCACTGGCACCTCCCGGGGTTCACCCACCCTTAACCCTGCAGCATCCCCTGTTCCAGCTGCTCCACATTCCCTGGAATTCCCAGCACTGGCACCTCCCGGGATTCACCCACCTTTAACCCTTTCCCACTGCTCCACATTCCCTGGAATTCCCAGCACTGGCACCTCCCGGGGTTCACCCACCCTTAACCCTGCAGCATCCCCTGTTCCAGCTGCTCCGCATTCCCTGGAATTCCCAGCACTGGCATCTCCCTGGATTCCTCCACCTCTAACCTTTCAGCACTCAGCTTTTCCAGCTGCTGGATATTCCTTCAGCTCGCTCCTACAGCAGCTCAAACCAAAGCAGGATTTTTGTTATGAACCCAGCCTGTCCTGTAGTTATTCCCCACTCCTGGGAGTCCCAGGGATTAAAAACAATTCCTCACGGAAAAATAACAAATCCTAGATTGGAGAATTCCCAGGTGGGAACAGTTCTTTTCCCAAAAATCAGAGCTGGATCAATCCCACATCACTCCGAACCTCTGGCAGGGGGGTTGTGGTTTTAAAGTCATTCAGGGCTTTAATTTATCCAAAATTTCTCTTCATTCCCTTTGCTTCAGGTGTGAAACTAACAGGAAACTGAGTGGGTGTTAAATTTTGGAAAAGAACCTGGAATTCTGCCTCCTGACCCAGTTTTGGGCAGCAGTGTCAGCATTTCCCAGATTCCAAAATATTCCCGGTGTTTTCTCCCCAGCTTTGGCCCGGGGTGTTTGAATCTCTCCTCTGTGGTTTTCAAACACATCAGCAGGAAGCTGATGGACACAGAAAGGGAAATGTTCCCGAAGGTCACTGCGGAAGGAGTGTTCCCATTTATTATTCCTGCTTTAGAGGATTTTCCAGCAAGCCCAGGGGTGGGATCTGGGAATGGGATCTGGGATGGGATTCGGGGATGGGATCCGGGAATGGGATGCAGGGACAGGATCCAGGGATGGGATCTGGGATGGGATCTGGGGGTGGGATCTGGGAATGGGATCCAGGGATGGGATTCGTGGATGGGATCCGGGAATGGGATGCAGGGACAGGATCCAGGGATGGGATCTGGGATGGGATCTGGGGGTGGGATCCTAGCACAGGGCTGCTGTCCATGGATTTTCCTCTGGGATTCTCCTGCACAGCAATCCCAACTTAATTCTATTCATCAGGATAAAAAATTCCAGCTTTAATGCCCAATTCAGACACATTCCCGTCAGTGCAGCACAGGAACATTCCCATGAGGGGACTGCTCCCTTTTCCCAGCTTTCCCATCCCTCCCAAACATGATTTATCCACGCCAGGTAATTCCAGCTTCAGGGCCCAACTCCATCTTCTGGAAAAGCTGAGTTTGATCCAATTCCAGCTGCTCTGGAAGCAATTCCCATGGGAATTGGGAAGGGAAATTGCACTGGATTGGGCACCAGCATTAAAGGAAATAAATGGGATTTTGGGGAAAATATTCTCCCTGGGAGGGTGGGAGGGGCTGGGATGGAATTCCCAGAGGAGATGGAGCAGCTCCATCCCTGGAAGTGGCCAAGTCACTTCCAGAGAAAAGGGATCCCTGGGATGTGGGATTTTTGGGATGAGGGATCTCTGGGATATGGGATCTTTGGGATTTGTGATCTCTGGGATTTGGGATCCCTGGGATGTGGGATCTTTAGAATGAGGGATTTCTGGGATATGGGATTTTTGTGATGAGGGCTCCCTGGGATTTGGGATCTCTGGGATTTGGGATCCCTGGAATGTGGGATCCCTGGGATTTGGGATCTCTGGGATATGGGATCTCTGGGATATGGGATCTTTAGAATGAGGGATTTCTGGGATATGGGATTTTTGTGATGAGGGCTCCCTGGGATTTGGGATCCCTGGAATGTGGGATCCCTGGAATGTGGGATCCCTGGGATTTGGGATCTCTGGGATATGGGATCTTTAGAATGAGGGATTTCTGGGTTATGGGATGTGATATGGGATCTCTGTGGTGTGGGATCTCAGGGATTTGGAGCAGCCTGGGATAGGGGAAGGGGGTGTGAGGGGATGAGCTCTCAGATCCTTTCCCTGCAGCAGGAATTCTCAGGCAAGAGAACAAATCCTGGGAATTGGATCCTGACCCTCAGCAGAGCCACCTTCCCCAGCTCGGGGACATCAGGGGGAGGAGGTGTCCCCGGAGAAGCTGCAGGGAGCAGTTCCAGGCTGGAATGAGGGATGTGGAGAAAGGAACGTGTCAGACTCTGCCCGGCCCAGCACGGGTCAGGCGAGGACAGGGCAGGATTTTTTATCCATGAAAAATTCCAGCTGATGGAAGGGAGAGCTGGGATGAAGCATCCAGCAGGAATCCAGCACAGCTCGAGGCTCCCTGGATTCAGGAATTTGCTGCCCCCTCCGTCCTGCAGCTGGGTAAGAGCGAGGAAAAAGCACCCGGGGGGAAAAGGGATTTGAAGAGAGCCTGGAATCACACAGGGAAAAAATGCTGCTCCAGTGGATCTGGGAAACGGGGAGGGCACTTCGTGGATCCCATTTCCAGCACCCAGAGATTCGCACATGGATTTTCCACCCCAAACCCCCGGACAAATCCCAGTTCCAGCGGAATCCCTTCCCTGGGCTCCCTCCCAGCCCCATTCCCGGTGCCATCCCTCCCCCCGGGCTTTGTCCCTGTCCTGGGGACACAGCTGGCCTTGACCGGGAGTGCCGGTCACGCTCCCTGCTCCCAGAAAGGAGGAACGGGCCGCTGGCTGCTCTAATTTCCCTCATTTGCTGCAATTTCCCTCATTTGCAGTTCCCTGGGAAGGCTCATTGCCTCCCATGCTGCTGTTTGCACCCCGCGGGGCGACTCGACCTCTCCAGCCCCGGGAGCAGCTCCCTGGAAGCTTTTCCCTGCAGAGATGATCCTGGAGATCCCAAAACCTGCAGGAATTTTAGGGCCACGTGGCCGTTTTCACACCCAAGGGATCCAGTGGGAAGTTCCTGCAGTGAGTGATTGAAAAGCCAGGTCCCAATGGCTGAGAAACCCCAAAATTCTGGAGAAATTAATCAATATTTCTCCCCAAAAAGCTCTTTCTGTATTTAAATCTCACGAGAATCTTTTCCCTGCAGACATGATCCTGGAGATCCCAAAACCTGCAGGAATTTTAGGGCCACGTGACCGTTTTCAGGGATCCAGTGGGAAGTTCCTGCAATGGGTGATTGAAAAGCCAGGTCCCAATGGCTGAGAAACCCCAAAATTCATCAATATCTCCCCCCAAAAAGCTGTTCCTGTATTTAATCCCTGTGGGAATTTCTCCAGCTTGGAATCATGGAATGGTTGGGTGGGAAAGGACATAAAATCATCTCATCCCACCCTTCCACTGTCCCAGGTCATTCCAAGCTGGCCTGGGACTCATCCAGGCACGGGGCAGCCCCCATGATCCAAACCCCTGGAAGGTTTCAAAGCCAAAGTGGGAAAAACCCAAATTCCAGAGAAATCCTCCCAGCAGGAACATTCCCTCCCAATGGCTGAGAAACCCCAAAATTCTGGAGAAATTCATCAATATCTCTCCTCTAAAAAGCTCTTTCTATATTTAAAACTCACAAGAAGCTTTTCCCTGCAGAGATGATCCTGGAGATCCCAAAACCTGCAGGAATTTTAGGGCCATGTGGCCGTTTTCAGGGATCCAGTTTCAGGGAAGTTCCTGCAATGGGTGATTGAAAAGCCAGGTCCCAATGGCTGAGAAACCCCAAAATTCATCAATATCTCCCCCCAAAAAGCTGTTCCTGTATTTAATCCCTGTGGGAATTTCTCCAGCTTGGAATCATGGAATGGTTGGGTGGGAAAGGACATAAAATCATCTCATCCCACCCTTCCACTGTCCCAGGTCATTCCAAGCTGGCCTGGGACTCATCCAGGCACGGGGCAGCCCCCCATGATCCAAACCCCTGGAAGGTTTCAAAGCCAAGGTGGGGAAAACCCAAATTCCAGAGAAATCCTCCCAGCAGGAACATTCCCTGCAGGCCCTGGGGCTTGGGGATGGCTCCAGAGAAAGCAAATCTTCCTTTATTCCCCTCCTTCATTTTTTTTAAATTAATTAATTCCTTTACTTCCTCCCTTTCAGGAAAAGGATGGATCAGTGCTGGGGTCTCCTGTGGAACGGGAGCCCCTGGATTTCCTGGAAGAAGGAAAATCCCAGCAGGAGGCACTGAAGGAGCACTTCATTCCCTGTCCGGGATTCCTCGGGATGAGCAGGGAGGGCAGGAACCCAGCCGGGTGCTGGGAGCTGAATTCCCCCAGGAAGCTCCTGACAAAAGGCAGGAGGCACAAAGGATCCCCCACATCCATTCCCAGCTTCCTGGCGGATTCCCACCGGCAGCTCCTCAGGAGATGAGGATGGAACAGGGAAAACGGAACAGGGAAAATGAAGTTTTTCCCCCCAAAACCCACGAAGAGAGGGAATTTCCAGGAAGCGGGAGGAGGAGAAGCGCACTGGAGGCGGGGGCAGCGCCGGGAGGGCAGCGCGAGCGCATCCCGCGGAAAACCTGGGAATGAGGGCTGGGAGGTGCTGCCAACATTCCCGGCCCTTCCACTCGAGGGGAAAGCGCCCTTCCCAAGGAGCTGCGGGGGGACGGGACACGGGAGTGGGAACGGGGTGGGATCCGGGAATGGGATCCGGGAGTGGGATCCAGGGATGGAATCTGGGAGTGGGATCTGGGAGTGGAATCCAGGAGTGGGATCCAGGGATGGAATCTGGGAATGGGATCTGGGAATGGGAGCCAGGGATGGGATCTGGGAATCAGATCCAGGGGTGGGA